ACTACAATCAGCACAATAAGGACTATATATTATATATATATATATATATATATATATATATATATATATATATATGGCATACAGTTTGAAAACAGAGAAATAAAATGGTGCCTATTTGAAGACGGCCTGATTTTCTACATAGAAAGTAAATCCTAATGAATCTACAAAAACTCCTAGAACTAACACATAAGTTTAGACAAGCCACAGAATGCAAAATCAACAGTATTTCTATATACTAGTAACAAATATGTGAAAACTGAAATTAAACACAATATGATTTTACGTCTGCTGCAAAGAAAATGAAATACTTCAATATAAAGGTAACAATATATATACAAGATCTGCATCCTGAAAATTGCAAAATGTTGTTAAAGGAAGACCTAAATAATTGTAGAGACTTACCATAATCATGGATGGAAAGTCGAGACATAGTAAAACTGCGAAGTGCCCCTAAATTGCTCTGTAAGATTACAGCAATTCTTATCAAAATCTCATCAAGGATTTTTCTAGATATAGATATATTTATTCTATATTTTATATGTATAGGCAAATGATATAGAAAAATAAAGTGGGATGAATCATCCTATGCATTGTTAAGGATTACTACATAACTTCAGTAATCAAGAAAACATGGTACTGGCAGGGAGTAGACACATAGATCAGCAGAGCATCAGAGAACTCAAAGAGACTCACACAGATATGGTCAAATGATTACTGACAAAGGAGCAAAAGCAATGGATAGCCTTTCAACAAATGGGGCTAGAGCAACTGGACATCTACAAGTAAAAAAAGAATGACCCTCAACCAAGCATTACACCTTATGCAAAAATTAACTCTAAAATGAATCACAAAATATATTGTAAAATGTAAACTATAAAATTTGGGGGTAAAAAGAGGAGAAAAGGGATCTAGGGCTAGACAAAATGTTCTTAGACATGAACCCAAGAGCGTGATCTATAGAATGAAAAATTGATAAATTAGACCTTATTAAAATTAAACACTTCTGATGTGCAAACAACCCAGTTAAGGTGTGAAAAGACAAATAACAGACTAGGAAAACTATCTGTACACCACAAAGCCAACAAAAGACTTGTATATAGAAAATATAAAGAACCCTCAAAACTCAGTAAAAAAAAGAAAGTATCCAAATAGTGAATAGGTCAAAGGCATGAACAGACATTTCACTGCAGATGGTATACAGATGGTGAATAAGCATAGGAAAAGATGTTCAATATCATTAGGTACTAGGGAATGCAAATTAAAACCCTAATAAGGTATCTCTATGCACCTGTCAGAATGGGTAAAATTAAAAAGAGTAATAATTCCAATGAAAAATATAAAATGATATAGCCATACTATAGTTTGGCAGATTCTTCAACAACTAAAAGTGTACTTTTCCTACAAACAAGCAATTTTCACTCGGGGGTATTTATCCCAGAAAAATGAAAACCTATGATTGCATAAAAGCTGTACATGAATGTTAATGGCAGCTTTATTCATAATAGCCAACAAGTAGAAGCAAAACAAATGTCCCTCAGTGGGTGAAAAGTTAAACTGTAGTACATCCCTATGATGAATGAAGAGACTGAAAGACTCTTCCAAATTTATCTACAGATTCAATGCAATTTTAATCAAAGTTGCAGCAGGCATTTTTTTTTAAGGTAGGAATTGAGGAGTTGATTCTAAAATTTATTTGGATATGCAAATGACTTAAAACAGTCAAAGCAATTTTTAAAAAGAAAAATTTGTAGGATTAACTCTACCTGATTTTCAGACTTACTATTAAGCTAGACTAAACCAGATAGTGTGGTACTGAGATATACAGATGAATAGATCAATAGAAGAAAATATAAAATCAAAAAAACAGGCCATGGATTTATGGTCAAGTGATTTTGGACCAAGTACCAAGGCAATTCAACAGGGAAAGAAAAGTTTTTAAACAAATCTCGCAGAAATAATTAAATAACTATATTTAAAAAATCATCAACTCTTACATCCTACCACACACAAAAATTAACTTGAAGTGGATCATTGACCTAAATGTGCAAAAGCTAAAATTACAAAACTTCTAAAAAATATAATATAAGAAAATCTTCACAACTTCTCATAGGCCTAGATAGGACACAGAGTATGAAACATAAGACAAAAATTGTTCAGCTGGAGTTTATCAAAATTAAATATCTCTGCCCTTCAAAAACTCCACTAGGAAAACAAAAAAAGCCAACCATAGAACAGAAGAAAATATTCACAAAAATGTCTGACAAAAGAATGTATAAAGAAAGAACTCCTATACTCAATAATAAATCAAAACAATTTAAAATTTTTTAAAAAGTGAACAGAGACCCTATAAAACAAGATATACAAATGTCCAATAAGTGCATGAGAAGAGGGGTGGGATAGGGATGTTGGGAGGGAAACGCAAGAGGGAGGAGATATGGGGATATATGTATATGTATAGCTGATTCACTTTGTTATACAGCAGAAACTAACACACCATTGTAAAGCAATTATACTCTAATAAAGATGTTAAAAAAAAAAGAAAATGCAGATTAAAACCACAGTGAGATACTAATACACACCCACTAAAATGGTTAAAATGAAAACAACTGACAATACTAAGTTAGGAATGTAAAATGGTACAACCACTTTTGAAACCTGTTTGCCATTTTCTCAAAAAGTTAAACAGGTGCTTATCATCCAACACAGCCATTCAAAAAGAAATGAAATCATATGTAAACATATGCTCATAGCAACTTTGTTCACAATAATGAAAAACTAAAAACAACCCGAGATCCATCAACTACATATTGGAGTCTCTCCATTCAATAGAATACTACTCAGCAATAAAAAACAATAAACTACAGATACACACAACAACCTGGATGAATTCCAAAATCATTCATTATGCTGAGTGAAAGACACAAAAAAGCACATACTGTATGATTCTATTTATATAAAGTTCTAGAAAATATAAAGGAGTCCAAAGGAAGGGAGTTGAAGGGAGGAATAAACTGCAAAGGCATGGTGTAAATTTTCTGTATCTTAATTGAGGAGGTGGTTTGCTGAGTATATTGTGTATCTGTCAATACTCTCAAATAGTAGGTTTTATGTGGTTGCAGTTTATTTTATTTTATTTTTTTATTTATTTTTTTTGCGGTACGCGGGCCTCTCACTGTTGTGGCCTCTCTCGTTGCGGAGCACAGGCTCCGGATGCGCAGGCTCAGCAGCCATGGCTCACGGGCCCAGCCGCTCCGCGGCATGTGGGATCTTCCCGGACCGGGGCACGAACCCGTGTCCCCTGCATCGGCAGGCGGACTCTCAACAACGTTGCAGTTTATTTTATGTAAATTATGATTCAATAAATTTTTTTTAATGATACTCCTTTTAAAGAGTCGGAATATAGGAATAAATGTCATAACCGCCTTCAAGGAATTCATAATCACTCCCCTGAATGAATGTCACTCCTCCTCTTGCTAAGAGACTGGTGGGTTTGTACTGATCCTTTTGCTTTCACTTTGTCCTATTTGTGTTACTTAAATTTGCAACACGGGATAAAGGTTTAATTTGTACTGGACAGAATCTGAAACTTTAATCTCCTTTCCTCTAAATCAGAGTTTACAACCATCTTACTCTTCCTGGCAGAATATGACATTTAAATAAAATTCCTGATTAAACCCAGGCACGGGGAACAAAGAATAACATTGAGTTGCAGTCCAAAGTACATGAAGTTGAAACATCTCTTAATAAAGTAACCAGATACTTTTTCTGCAGATGAAGTTGGGGAAGAAAGGCTCCTTCAACATTCAAGTAGATTTTACTCCGAGAGTGGAATAAAGGAACATTTAAATTACCATGAATTAATGTGATATCATATAATTTCACACAAAGGTTACCCACATGAATAAAATCAGTTTTCATACAGTTCTCACTCTGCAATATTTTAAACACTATTTTTAAGATCAAGTATACGAAACAAACTTACCGAAGAAATGATTTAATATTTTCAGCTTTCATCTCTGACACCAGTTTCCACCTTAGATTTTGGTGAGTGTCCCCTGAAGTGGCTGTTTCTTTGAGAGGCTTACTAAGCCAGCCTGGGAGAATACATACACATATGCATACTACATACACAAGAAATTGCTTTTGACTTTTATAAAAACTAGAAGCCAAAGGGGAAGACAGAAAAAAAAAAGCCCTTACCTAAGAAACAGATCATGGTGAGCTTTACAAAAAATTCATTCCAAATGCAGAAAACCTTTAAATTCTGATGTGTAACTTTGAGTTGGTTAAACGAGTTTTAGGTGAGAGCTATTCTTTTCATTTTCCCATGAGTTATGCATCAAGGCACGGGTCTTTATCTTTCTTGTTCTCCCATAGGGGTTAAGTTCATAGCACAGTGCCTGACACACAGGGAGCATTCGACAAATATTTATGTAATAAACGATTACAAAAGGGCAGGTGAAAGTTTTCACTCATTAATGGTCTTGGAAATGAAATCATCTTTTTGACCCCTGCGGATAGTGGCAACTCTAAATTGTCTTAACAACAGCCCTTAACAGTACCCTGAACTCAGCGAGCATTTAATAAATTTGAATTTCTGGCACACTTTATTAGGAAGGCCGAAATGCATTCCACTCAGTTTCCGGTTTGGCTGAAATTCGCGGAGCTCAGCCGGCCTGGCGCCCAGCGCACAGCCCAGCTCTTTAGCCCCAGGCTCTACCGCTTTCCTCCGGGGAGGCTGGAGGGATCCGGGGAAGGGGTCGGTCCACTTACCCACCATAAATCCACCGAGGAAAGATGCCAGCGCTGCAGCCAAGCACATCCAAAGGTATAGACGACCCCTGGACTTGGCCATGGCTTCCTCGGGACTGAGCAGGAGGTACCGGCTACCGGAGCGAGCCTCGGGAATGAGGGCGAACAGAGAGAGAGCGCCCGGGAACGCGGGGAACGCCCAGGTTGCGGCAGACCGCGGCCTCCGCTGACCGTCCTCAAAGCCCTGCCTCTGCTCTCCAGGTGGGTCCGGAGGCGAATTGAAACCGGCCCCAAACTCCTGGCTCCTGCGATCTCCAGGGGGCCTCGAGGGGAGAGAGGAAGCCCTGCAGGAGGAGGACACATTCTGCTTGCTGGCAGGCAACGCCCATTCTGTTGATCCTGGACAAAGTCTGCGTTCGGGGGGACTACTGAAAATGTCCCTGCTTGTTCCCTAAAGAACTCTACTTAACAGCCTCATTCCAGGAGTCGCCAGATGCATTTAACTACAGCTTTTTCTTCCCTGTTTATTGCCCTGCTGCCAGATTCTGACTAATTTATAACTGGTCACACTTGGGCAGCATTTCTGGTCCTGGCTGCTCTGTGATAACACATTAGTTTCTTAACCACATACAACCTCAAAACTGATAGGAGATACGTTCGGTAGATTACTCCTTTCTGCTCGTGGACGCCGCCGAGTAAGCATCGTTGACGTCTCCCCCCACCTCCACTGACGTCATGTCTAAGTCAAAGTCACCCAAAGAGCCCGAACAGCTGCGGAAGCTCTTCATCGGAGGTTTGAGCTTTGAAACAACCGATGAGAGTCTGAGGAGCCATTTTGAGCAGTGGGGAACGCTCACAGACTGTGTGGTAATGAGGGATCCAAACACCAAACGCTCCAGAGGCTTCCGGTTTGTCACATATGCCACTGTGGAGGAGGTGGATGTGGCCATGAATGCAAGGCCACACAAGATAGATGGAAGAGTTGTGGAACCAAAGAGGGCCGTCTCCAGAGAAGATTCTCAAAGACCTGGTGCCCACTTAACTGTGAAAAAGATTTTTGTTGGTGGCATTAAAGAAGACACTGAAGAACATTATCTAAGAGATTATTTTGAACAGTGTGGGAAAATTGAAGTGATTGAAATCATGACTGATCAAGGCAGTGGCAAAAAGAGAGGCTTTGCTTTAGTAACCTTTGATGACAATGACTCTGTAGACAAGATTGTCATTCAGACACTGTGAATGGCCACAACTGTGAAGTAAGGAAAGCCCTATCTAAGCAAGAGATGGCTAGTGCCTCATCCAGCCAAAGAGGTCGAAGTGGTTCTGGAAACTTTGGTGGTGGTCGTGGAGGTGGTTTTGGTGGGAATGACAACTTTGGTCATGGAGGAAACTTCAGTGGTCAAGGTGGCTGTGGTGGCAGCTGTGGTGGTGGTGGATATGGTGGCAGTGGGGATGGCTATAATGGATTTGGTAATGATGGAAGCAATTTTGGAGGTGGTGGAAGCTACAATGATTTTGGCAGTCACAACAATCAATCTTCAAATTTTGGACCCATGAAAGGAGGAAACTTTGGAGGCAGAAGTTCTGACCCCTATGGTGGTAGAGGCCAGTACTTTGCCAAACCCCGAACCCAAGGTGGCTATGGTGGTTCCAGCAGCAGCAGTAGCTATGGCAGTGGCAGAAGGTTTTGATTACTGCCAGGAAATAAAGCTTAGCAGGAGAGGAGAGCCAGAGAAGTGACAGGGAAGCTACAGGTTACAACAGATTTGTGAACTCAGCCAAGCACAGTGGTGGCAGGGCCTAGCTGCTACAAAGAAGACATGTTTTAGACAATACTCATGTGTATGGGGAAAAAAACTCGAGGACTGTATTTGTGACTAATTGTATAACAGGTTATTTTAGTTTCTGTTCTGTGGAAAGTGTAAAGCATTCCAACAAAGAGTTTTAATGTAGTTTTTTTTTTTTTTTTGCACCCATGCTGTTGATTGCTAAATGTAATAGTTTGATCATGACGCTGAATAAATGTGTCTTTAAATAAATAAATAAATAAATAAAAACTGATGGGATTGGGCTCTTTTGTCTTCCTTTACCCAAATAAGTCTCCAAATTTCTGAAATTGTCAGTTTCTTCTTCTGTAACTGGGGTTTTTCCCTATCTCACTAGAATGTTGTAGGTTCAAATTAATAAGATTAACCACTGAAAGTGCCTTGCACCCTAACCTATGGTGGTTTCTCAACAAATGTCATCCTCCCTAACCTCCCCCTCCTATCACATTTACCTCAGCATTTCTTTTTAAAAGTGATTAAAAGGTTTACAAGGCAGTACTTGTAAATAGGATACCATTATCCATCCATTTTACCCTGGAGGAAATCTTTAGCAATTCATGACTGGATTCTTCCTATCCAACCAAAAGCAATTTTGCAGCCGGAGCAAAGGTGCCTGCTGGGTGGAATATGAACAGGATAGTACATCTCTGGTTATGAAACTGAGAAGGACCCTGTAGGGTTCCCTGGTACAAATCCTTTCTGTGTTTCTTGTTTGTAGGAAATTGGCTTCATTCAGCCTCCTTGACCTTCCCTGAGTTCCAAAGGGCAGGTTCAAACAGTTGCTAGTCAGGGAAGGGAAGGAATACAGAAACTAGGGAGGAGTACTCAAGAAACAGTGCAGCCTTGGGGCAAGGTCCTGGTTCCTCTTGAGGGAATATATATAGCAATATCTTTGAGTTCTTCTGAAAAACTAAGGCCCCCACCCTGGTAGAGGATGGCAACTTCAGGCTGAGAGCAAGATTCCCAGAGCACTGCCCTGTTACCTCACCACCAACCAATGAGAACAAAGCCATACACCCTGCAGCCCTCACCCCAAATTTTACCTATAAAAACTTCTTCCTCCAAACAATTGGGGAGTTCGGTGTTTTTGAGCATGAGCCACACATTCTCCTTGCTTGGCCCTACAATAAACCTTTCTCTGCTCCAAAATTCTGATGTTTTGGTTTATTTGGCCTCACTGTGTATCAGGCACATGAACTTTTTTCAATAACAGTTATTCCCCCAATCTTCACTGCATTGTCTGAGGCCCTGATAATCTTAGATAAGGCACTTTTCTTTGCTCCTAAAAAGTTGCCAGGACAGTCTAATTTCTTTTTCTTGCACTGCAATTGTTGATAAATGTATTTAATGGGTTTTCCTTCAGAAATTTTGTAGAAGAAATATAGGTTTCTGATAACTTTCAGACCATACTACTGAACTGGGTAACAAATTACAGAACTCTAATTGAAAAACTGATGGCTTCCTAAAACTGCTAACAACAAATCAAGATCAACAAGAATCAATTACATTAATGATTGAATGAACTGATGAATATTGTTATAATTTTTATGACTTTTTGTTTGAAATATTACTGGTTTTTTAATCTTTCATTTTCAGATATGAGGAAACCTTTCCTCTTGTGTAATGACATACAGCAATTTGGTAAATTATACTTTTTTATAATACCTTTGTATTTACATAAAGTCACTAATAATCTGCTCTCCTTGTAACAGGGCACAATTGGAAACACTGTTTACATTAACAAGGCTTTGACTGGAAGGCAATATTTGAGAATATGCATTGAATCAGATATGACCAGACAGCTTTAAGGAACTAAGATTGACTTTATGAAGCTATAAAGCCCCTTAGAAAACCAGCCTGGTACCTTGCTTACTTACAGTGTTCCCAGCAGCCTTACCAGGTGAGTAAGAATGGTCGCTTCCTGGCAGATGCAAGAACCTCAGGATATTTTGGGAACCTCAAGAAGAGAGAAATTCACCCAAATCTATAGGTACTACATGCAAGTGTGATGGCAAATACTTGGCCTGGCTTGCTGGCCTTGAGAGCTATTAAAACTTCAGTCTGGGACTTCCCTGGTGGTCCAGTGGTTAAGACTCCATGCTTCCACTGCATGGGGCACAGGTTTGATCACTGGTTGGGGAAATAAGATCCTGCATGCTGTGCTGTGTGGCCAAAAAAAGAGCCTATGTGCTCAATTGCTATTCTTGCTAGACTTAAGTAAATAATCAGCCAATTTTAATGAAACTAAACTTATTTTGCAAACAAATTAGTTTTAATTTGGCTTTCATTGGTAGAAATGAGAGTGATTTTAAAGAGAAAAAATTGCATTTCAGCAAAAAATCTAATACACAGTTATGAATATTAGATTTATGTTCTATCAATCATCTTTGAAGTTTTGTTCTTCCACCTAAAAACTGGACTGGGTTCTGAATTCTTCTAGTCTCCTCAAATATTTGGCAACAACTGTTCAAACTAATGTTTCCAATTTTTCTCCCCCTTTTGACTTGGAATCATTTAGAACTAAAGCTGAACAACTTGATATAAACTTAAGAGAAATCACCACAATAGCCCATGTTTAGACAATCTCTGTGCCTGTCACTTTGTAAGCCACTCAGAAAGTTTACCTGAACACCTGATGACATCATCAGAGACATTTCAAACTACAAAAGATGCTTCAACTTTAAGATCTAGAAATCTTCTCCACTGGCAACTCTCAGGACTCAGACACTGGATTTACAATTTGCTCCAACCATTAACCTTTGTTTTTCTTTTGTCTCCGTAGAAATGCATCTTATTAAATACCTGATTGCTTACACCCTATAGGGCTAACTTTGCGAGCCCACTTGCATCACTGCCTCCTGAAATGAGTAACTGATCTGACCTATTGTCAGAACTAAGAAACTGGCTCAGTGAGATAAAGCAATCTATCAACCCAACTTCTGGACTGTGAAATCTCTTCAAAGAAGTTTCAAAGGCAGGACTGTAGTAGAGCAAAATTTGCCACCTCAAAATGTCTCTTTGGCATGGGTACTATTTCTAGATGAAAACAATCAAGGCCCCAAAGACTCAGGAATAAACTTTGATCTTCCTTCTAACTGCCTAAAAGAATGTAGTTAGAGGACCTGTTGCAAGAATGGAGATATCAAGTAGATAACTATAGGATGAATAGGTAGTGGTACACTGGAAAGGAACCTGGAAAAATCTGTTAAAATTCCTCTGTGTCCCATTGTCTCTGCCTGGCTCAGCAAACTTTTTTCTTTTTTACTACACATCTGCTTTCTATCTCCATGTGAATTACTTTCCTCCCCTTTGCAGTCCCAAACTACTTCCCCCTTTTGTCTTTAGCTAAAGATGGTATTTAAGGTGAGGGTTTTGGCCATTTGGGGGAATTACTCAATTCTTCTGGGTCTCTCCCATCTATACATGTTAAAAAAAAATGACTAAGTTATTTGTGAAATTTGTTTTTTCCTACTCCTATCTCAATTTTTATAGCTAATTATATGTTGACTAATAGATCAGTGTATTAATTAGCACAGTTTCCCAACTTGATTAATATTCCCAAATTAAAATTAGATTATTCGTTCTTTCAATGAGGCTATAGCATTCCAGACATTGTGAAAAATTCTGAAGACACGGTCCTTGCCTTTAGGAAGCCTACAACAATGACAAGGCAAATATTGAATAGGTAATTAAATGTAAGGAGTTCTAAGAAGGAGCAGTATTACCTTAAATGTGAAGGTTGTCGCTGCCTTAATAGGTGGCATCTGCAATCTTTATCTTGGCAATCCATTGTAAATAGTCCAGTTAGCTGGTTCAGCAAGCCTCTCACCATTGTAAAAATATAGACACAGAGGCATTATTTCATATTCTTAATTAAGCATATAAAAGAATGCTGCTATCACAGTTTCTAATTATTAGCATCTTAGAAGATATTTGCATCTTACAAAGCACACTTAACAGAGCAACATTGTTTGACTTATGCCAACCCGTTTCAGTCTTTCTTGCAAAGCCAAAAACTGTATAGGAAACTTTTAGTACTGGAAAATCAATCTCTCAGTAAAAGTATTTAACACATTTGATCTGCTCAGTATTCAGAGTCTCTAACATGACAGGATCTCACTATCTTCTCCATTCATGAAGTTAAATTGTTCTTATATAATCCTTTTTTCCCTTCTCCTCTCACATCCTAGAAGAGGCAATCTTGTAACTTCAAAGTCCAAATCCTATCAAATGGGTCACAGCAAGGTTGGAAAACAAAGTGTGACTTGTGTACTAATAAAGCAGTATATGTAAGTTTCTTAATAAACATACCAATAATTAAGATTTAATAGAGAAGAAATAATATCTAGTGTCAAATTTCACACTTTCCCTGAAGATGTTGCATTATCTTTCATAAAAGAGGGATCGCCTAGATGCTCACTGTACAGATATGGACATGATGCCATTAATGATGTCACAAGGTGATAGGTCATCGAGATAGCAACATTCTCTTCCCAAAAAAGTGAAAAGTTAATGTCATGATGGCTGAGATTCATGACAAAAAATACATTCCAATTGAGTATTTCTAAAATCCTGGGTCCAAAAACTGCCCAAAATTAGTTTCAAACTTAACATGTGAGAATGTTAGTATATTGTACAATAAACCATAACACATAAAGCAGGTGAGAAGTGAGACAGGAGTATAGTGTGAAAAGTGTAAAAGACTAATAAAAGTAAGTGAGAAGAAATTCTAAAAGAAAAGCAGAAAACCATGATTGGATGATTTCCTCCTGATGTCACAATAACTCTACTCAACAGTAAATGTAGAAATTAGAAAAGATCCACCAAGTTAAAGTGTAAAACAGAGAGGGCTGCCACCCATGTCCTCCTATCAATACAGGGTGTGTGTACCATGATGCTAATATTCCAGGTGGTACCTTGGCTCTGGTAAGTTATATTTATCTGACCTTTAAACCATGTTTTCCTATTCAGTATTTCTCATCCCTTATAATTAACATGTACCTTCAGCCTATTTTCCATGATAGCTTGTACATAATAGTGCTAGGATCAGAGGACCACTCATGCTTTTTTTTCCAACACTCTCATTCTCTATCCTCATTTACATCCTCAGTCCCTGTGTACTTTCCCTATCATTAGATTATGAATAAATCTCTCCAGATTTTTGATCTCCCTTCTGACAGCCCTTTCTCTATTCCATC